TCTCTTCCTCCCTCCCCCCTCTCCCTCTTTCTCTCTCTCTCCCCCTCTCCCTCTTTCTCTCCCTCTCCCTCTCTCTTCCTCCCTCTCTCCTCCCCTATTTCTCTCCCTCTCCCTCTTTCTCTCTCTCACTCTCCCTGTCTCTTCCTCCCTCCCCCTCCTCTCCCCCCTCTACCTCTCTCTTGCTCTCCCTCTCTCTTCCTCCCTCCCCCCTCTCCCTCTTTCTCTCTCTTTCTCTCTGTGCAACTAAGAACTGACCTTCTCCCCTGCCCGAGATGCTGGACCTATGAGCCCTTCCTCTACACTCTGGCCTTCACAGACCTTCTCTGTGGCCCAGCAGATTACGGGTGGGGGACAGGATGTTAGCCGAATTGCTCCAAACTGGAAACAACCGGTACAGTTATTATTATCAGGATACTTCCGTCTATGTTTACGGAGGATGGCACTGTTTCCGAGGTTCCCAATGAAAGACCGAGGCAAACTTCCTTAATAATAATAGTAGTTTACTGACACACTTCACTCAAAAACATACAACAATCACAGCACACAAGAACTAAGAAAATAAAGGTAGAATAATACAACACAGTTATGGTGGTTGATGCTCTGGGTTATAATTACCTAGCTGAAACTGCATGGCTCCAAACTGCAAGCAAAGGGGAAAGGATGGGGAGAAAATTGGAAAAGAATGGCGAATGGACTCAGACCAGCTAAGACCACGTGCCAAGAAGTTCTAGCTGCGCAAATACTAGAACGTAAAGAGGGATGAGGATGTGGGATAGCAAGCTGGACTTAAGAGGAAAAGCAGGTTTTATAGAGGGCGTCGTTAGAGAGCGATGGAGGATTCAAGAGCAGGAACGTAAGAGAGCAAACTGTGGGTGCGTTCTTGATTATATCTACGGGGGTCTAGAGGAGGAGCAGGGTCCAGGGGACCTCCCCTATGATGCTGTGTATTGAAACAATCCAAAATCAGTTTTTGAAACAATCCAAAATCAGTTTTTAAGGCGCATCCTGGCTCTTCCTAAGGGAACACCAGTTGCCCTGATGAGAGCAGAAACTGGTCTGCCTTCTCTAAGGGCGAGGGTGTATCTTGCGATTCTAAAATCTTGGAAGAAAATCAGAGCTGCTAGCACTGATTCGTTCAGCCAACTGGCCTTTAATTCAATGCTATCTAAAGACTTAGATCGTTCTTGCTTCCTCAATAACCTACTACTAAGATATTCCATTCCTGACGACCTCCTTAGCTCCTCAACAAATAACTTAGATCTCAGAGAATGGGTATTTAAGCATGATGCTCTGCTAGATAGACACTTAATTTTAAAAACACAGTCTGCTATCTGGTTTAAATCATTTAAGACTGATCATTTTAGATCACCTTATCTGGTTAATATAGATAATCATAACCTTAGAGCAGCTTTTACATCTTTGCGCTTTGAATCAATGCCTACGGCCGTGTTGGTCGGCCGTTACAACAGAACACCCAAGGCACAGCGTTTATGTATTTGTGGCTCTTCTGCTGTTGAGGATCTCTCCCATTACATTTTTAATTGCTCATTGTACTCCCAGCCTAGGTCAAAATTTTTATCTGGTATTTTATCAGTTTTAAGCTTTTATTCAGTCTCAGAGAAGATTATATTTTTGCTAGCCGATGCCAATGCTGATGTATCCCATAGAATGGCTTTATTTGCCTTGGCTGCAAGGAAAATACGGGCCAACGCTGCTCCTAGCTAATACTGATTTTAGTGGGTATGTTGTGAATTAATTAACTGTTCATAACCTCGGTTTTAACTGTTCATAACCTCGGTTTTAACTGTTCATAACCTCGGTTTTAACTGTTCATAACCTCGGTTTTATGGATTTATAATGTTGGACTGTATCTTATTTTATACAATTTTTGTGTTTTATTGTGCTCTTCTCTGTCTGTGGTTTGTAATGGCCTATGGCTAAATACAATAAAATCTTCTCTCTCTCTCTCTCTCATAGCCAAAAGGTCTGTGATTCCTCTGGGTGGGCCA